TACCATCCCTAGGAACAAGCTCATAGCAAATATCCAATGTTAGGTAGGGTCGGGCATTGAGTCATGGAATCTGCAATTTCCATTCCACAAGCTCCAGTTATTGAGCAGAGAAGGGTGAGAATTTTAATCGATGAATGTACCCACACGGTTTAAGGACTTGTCTACTCACTGTTCCGTGTGCTTTCCGTCTACTTAAAAGCTGAGACTTTTCTAAAGATTTTTTTTTTATAAGAACAATGACTAAAGGTTAGCATGATAGAAATATTAATAAAAAATATTGAACATAAAACATGAGAATACAAATCACGAATTTTCCTTAAGACTTTTCTAAAGACTGGTTGGTGAAGACTTGGATTTGAACACGTCATAACTTTATGCCGCCACTGCATTCCCACATTTTCCTTTCACAGCCTCCAATTTTGACAAATCTTTAAATGATAAAAGGGCTCACTAAAATAAAAGGAAAAAAAAAAAAAAGCCTATAATGTCAATTAATATACAAAATTGAGTAACTGTACCAAGCTGTATTTATAGAGCTTATCAACTCACACACAAGCTTATCTGAACAAACCGAATAAGATTCCTTTAGGTTGGTACCATGCCTAGTAATCGGTTGGAGAAATACTTCTTGCAATTAATTGAGCCTTTAGTCGACATGACAATAAGTGCCATGACTAAATTTCAACAGTTTAACTCCAGAGGAAATTCTTGCAATGAATTGAGCCTTTAGTCAATATGACAATAAGTGCCATGACTAAGTTTCAACAATTTAACTCCAGAGGAAACAAGAAAATTTCTCTCAAATTTAGTACAAAACAAAAAAAAAAAAAGAAGAAAATTTCTAGGTCCGTTCATAGAGCTACGGCCTGCAGGACTTTTCCTTTATATACAATGCAAGTTAAAGGTTTGTTTGCCCAGCTCCCATTTAGAGTGAAATTGATTTACTCTTTTTTCAGCCAAATGGGATTTTCAAGACTCTTTTTGCTCTTACTATCCTCCGCTTTTCACATAAATCTCTCTTCCTCCGAAGTTGCTCCGAATTTTCGGAAGAATTGTAGTATCAGCGACGGTAACTTCACTGCTAACAGTCCCTACGAGGCCAACCTCAATCGTCTCTTCTCCCAGTTGAAATCGTCCGACCAGGATTTCAACTATGGGTTCTATAATATATCCGTTGGCCAAAGCCCTGATCAGGTCAATGCAATTGCACTCTGCAGGGGAGACCAAAAGGAGAACGACTGCAGAAGTTGCCTGGATGTGACCATCTCCTCGCTCCAAGAAGTCTGTCCCAGAAACAAAGAAGCAATCGCGTGGTCAAAATTTTGCACCGTACGGTACTCAACACGAAAAATTATCGGAGTTATGGAAGTCGATCCTTTTGATCAAATACATAGATGGGATAGCCAAAGTGTACCGCGTGATGTTAATGATTTCGACAGGGCCTTGAGTTTCTTGTTGAAAAATTTAAGCGTCGGTGCGGCTACCGGAGATTCTCTTTTCAAGTTTGCAGCGGGTTCAACGGTTTCTTCCCAACGCATTTACGCTATGATGCAGTGTACCCCGGATCTGTCCCATGAAAATTGCAGCGCTTGTCTGGCGACGGCCAGCGGCGACAGGATGAGGAATTTCTGCTATGGAAACACCGGATGCAGAATTCTTCAACCCAGCTGTTTCTTAAGATACGCGACTGATTCTTTTTTGGACAATTCAGCTAAGATCACTATTGTACCGTTTTCACCTCCTTCTCCAACTCCAACAGAAGGTGGCCCACCTCCTTCTCCAACTCCAACAGAAGGTGGCTCACCTCCTTCTCCAACTCCAACAGAAGGTAGCTAACGGTTTGCAAAATACCCCTATATCCATCTTATCCCCTCCTACTAAAACAATAAATATTTTTTAATAAAGGATTTGTCTAGAATAATACTCTCCTGTTTTAAACTTGGCAAATTTAATTTTTAATTTGAGTTTTTTAAATTTATTTTTTACTCTTTATTAAGATTATTTGATGTACTTATTTTTATTTTAAAAAGATGATTACAACGCATATTAAATAAAAAAACTTATCATTTATTACATTATTTTATTCAAAAAAAATCTAGTTCTATTAAAGTTGGACAAAATTTTTTTTTTCTTTTTTTAACATTTTTTCCTATTTTAAGATAAATAAATATTTTTTTCAATTTTAACCTTATAATCATTTCTTGATTTTAATCCCATTTTAGCATAAAAAAAATCTCCTTTTATCTATATATTTTTAGGAGAATATAGGTAAAAAAATAAATTATTCTCAAATCCCTAATTTAAAGATAAAATA